GGGGAGCCACGGCCAGCGGGCTTGACTTCGGAGTGGCCGGCAAACTTGACTCTGGAGCGGCCAGCGGGCTTGTGGGAGCCGTGGCCGGCAGACTTTACAACGGCGCGGCCGGCGGGCTTGTCTTCGGAGCGGCCGGCGGGCTTGAGTGAGTCGTGGCCAGCAGGCATGACAACGGCGCGGCCGGTGGGCTTGTCTTTGGAGCGGCCGGTGGGCTTGTCTTCGGCGCGGCCGGCGGGCATGACAATGGCACGGCCGGCGAACTTGACTTCTGAGTGGCCGGCGGGCTTGTCTTCAGAGCAGCCGGCATGTTTGACTTCTGAGCGGCTGGCGGGCATGACAACGGCGCGGCCGGCGAACTTGACTTCTGAGCGGCACGTGGGCTTGTCTTCGGCGCGGCCGGCGGGCATGACAACGGCGCAGCCAGCGCGCTTGACAGCGGGGCGGTCCTCATACCGTGGGGAGAAGAAAAGGGAAAACAAAAGATGACAAAAAACGGAAATAAAAACACAGGAGAAGGGGCGCTGCTTACTGTTTCAGTCTGGTCTTCTGTCACGACACACACACGAGGATAACCGGAACTAAGGAGGAGACGAGGAATATACGAAACAGTCTTTAATCCATGGAACACAGGGTACATAAACACAGGAGACAGCAGGAAACACATCCACGTAACGAGTAGACCAGACAAAAGGGAAACTGAACAGGCAGGAACTTAAATACAAGGGTAATTAATAGAACACAGCTGAACGGAATCATAATTAAACTAAACAAGGACAGGAAAATGACCAAATAAGGAAACACAGAAAGGCACATGAGGAGCATTACACACACAAAACACGGACCAGAGTCTGACACAAGCAACACACTGAAAAAAACATGCAATTTTTAAGTAGAAAGAAACTGTATTTCTTGCAAAACACTAAAAAAAAAGTGTTTTATTTGCAACTTTGAAAAAACACTTATACAGTGTGTGGTCCTCAGCATCTCAAGTATGAGACTCTATATAGCAGACCATATCAGTCTCATTCTATATGCATTATGCAAGCATGTGAACATGGCTCCTGAATTCACCTCAATCTGTCTGCATACAGTGTAACTCAAGTTGTTTAAAGTACATCAGTTATTTTGTGAAGCAAAGAAAAAAAACTCTCAGCGCTCACATTATGACTAACTCATTCCTTTGACACACACACACACACTCACACACTCACACACACATACTTATTTATTCAGAGCTCATTGAAATCACCAACACAGTTAGCACAGGGCTAACATAGCTAACAGTACAGTGCATTCTGGGAGACTTAAAGTGGTATCCATAGTAACCATTCGAGCGCTGAAGTGAGCATGTGCAGAGCGGCTGTTCTGAGAATGGAAATGTGGAGCATTTGCGTAAACCCCTTCACGGCAGAAACCACGAATAGAGATGCTGCAGAGTGCCGCACACTAAACTACTAAACAATGTTTCCTTAAGCATGAAAGCAAATCTTCCCTTCTCATTTCAACAGTCTTCTCTCTCGCTCTGTGTCTGTATCTACCTACTAGTCATGCAGTTGCACAACGCTGATGATATGTTCCTGAAAAAATTATATTCAGTTGGAGTTGTAAAGCTGTCCGCAGCTCATAATGGGCCCTTAATAATTCACATATCAATTTTAAGACTTGGATAGAGAGATGAAGAGCAAGAGAGACAACAAGGGTGACTGAAAGAGAGGAGGAGAAAAAATAAGACAAAGAAGGAAAACTGTGAGAATATAGATGTATTTAAATGAGGAGGAAAAGAAAAGAAATGGCAAAGAGAGCTGGCAACAGAGAAAGAGAGAGAGAGAAAAGCAGAAGAGCTGTGAAATGGATAGTTGGCTAGAATTTGAGAGAGTCTACTGCATCTCTCCATCAGCAGTTTAACCTTTTGAGTGGTACAGTCCCACATGTGGGATCGTTATTTCTGTGGCCCTGGGAGTACGGTCCCACATATGAGATTTAGAATGTTGTGACGTCTCATTACTGCCAGATTCAAACTGTGATTTCGCGCTTTGGCTGATGCTGAGCCAGAGACAGGCGCGCTCAGCGCTCGTCATATATCACAACTTATTTTAGGTTTCAGACTTTTAAATACACATGAGTACCAGTAAAACAAAACATTTAGAGTTTGTAAAATACACACTGATGTCTATGGAAGCAGCAATAACAATCCATTCAAATATAATTTGCCGTCATGTTTTATTAATATCAGAAACAGTGTGTTTCTTTCTTTTTTCTCTCTTTTTTAGCGCTTTATACAATACAGATTGTGTCAAAGCAGCTTTACAGTGTTAAACAGGAAAAACGTGAGCTGATAATGTAAGAGGACAATAGAAATAGTCAGTTTATCAGTTAAAGTCAGTTCATTGTTGATTCAATGATGTAATCGTCCAACTCAGTTCAGTTCAACAATGTTCCCAGAAATTGTGTCCCCAACTAAGCAAGCCAAAGGTGACAGAAATGGAGGGAAAAAAACCTTGGGAGAAAGAAACCAGGCTCAGTCAGGGGGCCAGTTCTCTCCTCGACATATACCATGTTGATATATTGTTACAGCACTAATTTCATTTTTTAAAACAAATTATAAGTAAACCTTATAATTATAATTCCAAGATGGTGAAATGAAGAATGTATAATATTTCTAAAGCATTTATTGATCTTAGTTAATATTAATTTCAACATTTACAAAAAAAAGCTATTTCTCGATTGGGCAAACTATAATCTGATTAGCGGAGCAAGAACTTCTAGGAGTAAAACAAACTCTAGTCCACATTGCAGCTTATGTCGTTTGGCTATGTGAGAACTAACCTTTAGCCAAACCGCCTTATCCCTAAAAGACAACTGTGACGAGTGGGGAGGGGCTGAGAGCCGTGGGAACGGAGCGAGGCCGGTGGAATAAATGATAATGAGTGACACCTGCGCCACTCACCGGTCTCGAGTCCCACGGAGGAGCTCTGTAAGGATAAAAGGAGGAGCGATGACAGTGAAGGACGAGAGAGGACCAGACCTGGACTATTTATGTTGTTGTTTTGTTATGTTTTACACGGAGGTCGTCCGTGAGGGGCTGCCGCTTTTACTTTCGTTTTGTGTTGGTTTATTTATTTATTAAAGTTTTATGTTTAAATGTTCGCCGGTTCC